TTAGCTTTACAGGCTCCCACAGAAGCTAAAAAGCACTTGTTCATTTCCTGAAATTCAATATTATGCTTCTAGTACAGCAGTTGGTGCCGTTATCAGAAAATGTCCTCTTTTTCACCACCACTTTTATTGCTAGAACAATGGAGAGATGACAGGAAATGATAGGGCTCTTCTACTGCTCTCTTCCAGGGGCCAGATCAAAACTCACTTTAACATTCACAGGCTATTTTACAAAAGAAAAACTGAAAAAAACATCTTCTGCCATCCATATACTTGACTATCAATCTGAATAACAATAAGAATAAAAAAGCCAATCTACTATTCATTCCGTTTCTCTATAATCCTCCCATTCAGATAGAAAAATGAGCCTTTGTCCTGCACATTATTCTTTGAAGCACGCTATAGTTAAAAAGTTTGGGGTCAGTACAACGTAAGGTTTTTTTGTTTTGTTTTTTGAAAGAAGGAAAGAAATTCATACTTTCATTCAGCAAGGACATATTGATCAAAAGTGACAGTAAAGAAAACAGACAATGGTAGCAACTGCTTTCAACATGGATAATAATTACATGAAAGCTGTAAATTCAGCTTTGCCATCACAGAAATAAGTTACATTTAAAAAGTATATTACAATAGAAAAGTGTTACTTTAAATTGTAATATTTCACAATAGTACAGTATTTTTGATTAAATAAATGCAGCCTTGGTGAGCATAAAATACTTTTTTCCCCAAAACAAAAAATCTTACAGTAGTGTACCTTGGAGCATTAAGCAAAAATCCATGTACATAAATTCAAATCTCTTAGCTTAGTGTTTACTTAAACGTAGAGTGCACAGGCTCCCTCACTGCAATAACAAAATTGTACTGAAAACACTGCTATGGACATAGTATTTTGCAATCCTACTGAGGTAGTGTGTTGGACTGCACCCACTTTACTATCATAGGGGGTCTATGTGGCTTTCCATCAACATGTTCTTATCACCACCCACCAGAAAGCTGCTCCACCTAGACCTGTCTGTAAGCACAGAGGGCCTACAACCACACATAGGGTAAAAATAACCTCACAGACAGTATGTACAGTCACCCGAGCCCCAAACACCTCACGCGCCAACCAGAAAACACACACACAAACCAAAACACATGAAGGGTAACACACACTGTGTGCGTGTCTGCCAGTGAAGGAGTAGGTCACCTGTGTGGTGACAGGGATGAATAACTGGGCCACATTTAGATGTGGCAAATCCATCTGCTATCCTACATTACAGCACTTTGCTGATGGGAAACTCGGCCAATGGAAACTGCTCAAAGGTTTGCACTTAGATGTCATGTGCTGAGAGGAGCATGTGAAGTCGGGGATGTTGCGTATGATTAGATGAAGGATGTCCTCACTGGAGAAATGAAATCTGATCTGTGATGCGACTGTCGTTCGGCACGCTGCATTGAGCAGCCGCGTTCAGTTTTTAATTGTAGTGTCTGTTCTTTTACTGAACTAAATTATTTTTATTTCTATAAAAAATCAAAACGACGTGGGGGTCGGTGCCGCGGTGGACAAGTGACGTAACCGGTGTTGTGGCTTAACACCGGTATCACCGTCAGCACCGTCTATCGCGGCAAGCCTAATATATATATATATATGCAAAAAGGTTGCAATAATGCAATTTAATAAATAAATATATGTGCTGTGTGTTTCAGAGTGAAGCGTCGCACTATGTTCTTTTATAAACAAACAGCAACTGATCTGGTGTTTTCAGGGTCTCAGAAATGCTTGGTTGGAAGTAAAATTCTGCTCCTAAAGAACTCCATCCGTGCAAACACTGTGATTTAGGTCACTTATAATGTGCATTTGGGAATGCAACCTGCGCCAACCATCATCCCAGATTTGTAATGAGAAGCACTTATAAACCGGATGTTGTTGACAAAAGAAAAGATTTAAAGGACTGTGGTTTTGTAATAAAAGCATAATGGTGTAATGTTTCAAAATGAAGAAATTAAGACAGCATTAAACATTAGTATTGTAATTGTACAGTTGTATGGTTTAAATAATAAAGTTATTATCATTATTGTTGTTATTTTTCCCTTATTCAGTGAAAATTACAATAGCAATGTTTTCTCATTTGTTTAATATTTTTATTCAGAAATAATAATCACTAAAAATAATAACAGTGTGTGTGTGTTTATTTTTAACTGAAGAATCACAATTTGATTTTTTCCACAAATCATGCAACCCTAACAAAACGATTCTGCTTCTGACACTAAAGTCACTGATCCATATGACCATACTAAAATGAGGCATGCAAACTTTTAAAACAAAACTGACAAGCAAACACATCTTGTTTCAAGCATTTCAGCCCTTGTTTTGTTAAATAAGTAACTAATCTTTATACTTCTCACAAAAAAAGAGACCCAGGCAGCTTCTGGAAACCTCACAATAATCATAAAATCAGGCCGCATGAGAAGTTTCCTGTGAACACCAACGGAAGGCCAGAAAAATAAGAATAAAGAGACTTTAAAATAAAGAGTTTGCTTTAAGAGCTCTGACAGCAAGGCACATTGACTGAAATGCTGTTACCCCACTGCTAAGGGAACAGTGTTTAAAAATGCACACAATACAAGCTTTTCAACAGTTTAAGACCTTAAGCGATACTTTTAATATGCTACTGACCAGAAGAAATGATCTATCTATTGCCACTCAGCATCAGTACTCACCGAGAAACAAGATTCAAAAGATTCTCAGTGTCAAAAAAACAATTCCCGTTTCTGCTGAAGCTTAGGTACCACGCTGCTTGAGTCACTGAACACAACTATATAGATGAAAATGTTGGCCAACAGTGCAACCAAATAGCTTTCGGATAAGGACTTCAATAAATCCCTGCCCCCCCCTAAAAAACAATCAACACTCTATATTTAGCATTAAAGACGGTGACCAATGACCAAATTCATTCTAAAATTTACCTGCAAGTCTATCTTCAGCCATTTGTCATGGAAGCGCAGCTGGGCATCAAGGGAAAAAGATGGAGATGGCATCCTTCCCTCGGCTGTCCAGGCTTCCCTAAAGAGACACATTCACGGATCAAACGAGAAGTTAACACTGTGAAGCTCTGACCAGCAAAACAAATCACATCATGCTATCTGCATCTCATTAATACATATTTGTATATGGATTTTTCAAAGGCGCAGTAGTTCAGTGCAGCACAGTCTGTTGTTGATGATGCAATCTGACAGTTTCAGATAATTGGGAACCATCTTCATAGCCAAATTCATAACAATTTTTTTAATTCCACATTCAGTATAATACTTAGTGTTTAAAATATATCTTAACAAACATCTAATGCATTGCAAAAACAATAAATTAGGTCCAGAAATAGTTCACCACACATCGAAAATCTCCTCTTCCCAAAATTCATATGAATTTCAAGATTTTTTTGAAGAATTTGTTTTCCATTAAATTAATTTCTGTACCAAGACTTTTCAAGTCATATGATTATATTTGAGTGAGAAAAACACTGCAATTTAAGTATTTCTTCATTGATAATCTTACACTGACACTCCAGTTAGCTGTTAACCACTAAAATTTAATCAATAAGTCAATGAACTCAAGAAACACCAAGATTGAATCTGTGACTTGGATAAAGCAATTCTAGAAATATAAGTGCACAAATTTTATGTCCTTAATGAGGTTTGACATATTTAGTCGCCACTCATTGTCACTGCTCAACACATTCTTCAAAATTTCCCCTTTGTCTTCCAAAAAGTCATATGGTTTTGGAATGACACAAGGATCTGTAAATATTGGCATGTGTTTAATTTTTTGGGAGAACACTCCCTTTAACTTCAAGCATAAAACAACCTTGAAATGTTAAAATGAGTCTTCCACGTCTTTCCACACTTCATAAAATGGATAAATTAGCAAATTCTAGCATACAAGCAACAATATATAAAAAATAACATTATTCAAAATGAGATTGTGGTACTGTGTTAAAGCATCGCCTGATCGAACAGGAGAGCATCAGTGAAATAATTTATTAAAACAAACTGGGTGTTGGCTTGGTCATATTCTCCTATCCATGTCTAATCATCGGAGTCCAAATGTAGATGTGAGCAAAATATTGTTTTGTTTGTTTTTAATCAACAGATGTTGCAGTAATGCTGCAGGGTGCTATCCGTGATCGGTGTGTTGTTGATTGAACTCAGGCTGTCAGCCGCTAGCAGCTAAAAGACAGGACGTTCCTAAATACTGACAGCGCTTTGACCTACTATTCTTGAACTCACCACAGCCTATTAATACCGCAAAACAGCTATATTTTCCTGTCCTAGAAGTCATTACGGAATCAACGCATGTTTTACCTGTCTGGATGTCTTATTGAATCCTTGCTTCTTCGGTCCTACTACCAGCCTTACTGCACTTTAATGTCGGCCATGTCCTGTGTGGACTGACAGTCTCTGCAGCCAAACAAATGAAGAAGAATCAGATGACGTACAACAACCGGAGGCGGGACGCCGCGAGGGCCAATCACAGGCTGAAATGGACACACATGGAGCATGACGTTTACTAAAATGAAAATGTATCAAATAATGTAAATTTCGTTTTAACGCATATACTTTGACATACAAATAAGCATTATTTTCTTGGACTTACCTATATGGGGAGTTGACGCATAATATATATATTTTATAATTGTAGGCTAAAATTTCTAATAATGTTTAAGGGAAATCATCTTCAGTTCTGACTGGTGACTGGTCACGATTTTTTAAAAAGTTTTTAATCATTTAATTTCCTTTTTTAATTACACTAGTTTCTTTTAAATGTTCATGATGTTTGAAACATTAATTCTTAAATTCAATATAGTTTCACAATTAATATGAGGTCATAAAATAGCATGAGTAAAATTATACAAGAATTAGGTAAATACTATTTTAAAAAGTTTAATTTTATGTATTTTTTAAAAATGTATTTTTAAGGGATTTGAAGATCATCAATTTCGGGCTGCTGTATGTTGATACAGGTGGGACTTACCTGACTGACTGTGTGTGGTGGTGTGGTACACTTGCAAGTGAGTCTTTCCTCTACTACTACTACTACTACAAATAAACTGTTAGTAATGGTTGTTTAAAAGTGTGTATTGATGCCTTTTTTTTATAGTGATCGTTGGACAAATAGGAAATTTTCTGGCATACAATGTTGCCCCTGCAGTTGTGGTCACTCCCCTTGGAGCCCTTGGTGTCCTATTTGGGTGAATTTCTTTATTATAGTATATTCAAGGCATTCTACTCTATTTTAAATGCATTTGATGCAGTGGTCTGAGCGATTTCAAAGTAATTATTAAAGCAACAACAACATTTAACATTTATGTTAGATTTACATTAGCATATCAGGGCACCTTTACTGTGAAATGGAATGATTTATGTGATTTTATTTATTCATCATTAATCAGGGCCGTTCTGGCATCCTGGCTTCTTCAGGAACATCTCAATCTCATAGGGAAACTTGGCTGCGCGTTGTGCTGTTGTGGTTCAGTTGTGCTCATCATTCACTCACCCAAGAGTGAAAATGTCACATCAAGAGCAGAACTAGAGGAGAGACTGATGGACCCAGGTATGAAAAACATGTCTGGTGGAGCCATAATTCATCTATTCTCAGTGGTAGCCCAGTTAAACGGATGTGAAATCCAAAAGAAGATATTTTAAAGAATATTGTTATACCAAACAGTTTCAAGTTCACATTGATTATTATTTTATGGGCTGAAAAATCTCCTGAGCGCTGTCACTGCCTTCCGCCATTTCCTCTCGTGAAAAAAACAACAACAACCACATTGCATGCTGCTTCTGCGTCAGACTGATGCTGGCTGGACAGGATTTACCGCGAGTTTTCAAAAGCGCGATAATCAAACACGGTTTTGATGATAATTAAATTTTAAACGGTAATACTAACCGTCAGGGCATTTTATCGTGATTTATCGTGACACCGGTAATCGTTCCATCCCTACTCTATTTGTATAGTGCTTTTTACAATACAGATTATGTCAAAGAAGTTTCACAATAATAAACAGGAAAAATAGCAGAATCAATTATGGAAACTCAACTATGGAGACAGTTCAGATTCTGCTGTAAAGCAGCTCTAAATGACAACAGTGTCATTGTTCAGATCAAGTAAGTTTAGTGTTGGTTCAGTTCAAACCAAAAACTATATAGCAGTAATGCTTTTTATAGCAATGATCCTGAACAAAAGACGACACTTAACATTTAAAGCTCCATTTGTTTTGTCTGAAATCTCTTAGTGCTGCTTCATAATCATGTGTGGTGGAATATCCTTAACTCACTCTCAGACATTACCAAAAACAAACATTATCAAACATCGTTTCTGATCTTTCTATTCATGTTTCAGTGTTCCTGGTCTACATCTCAGTGGTGGTCCTATTACTGATCGTACTGATCGGGTGGCTTTCTCCAGCTCACGGAAAATCCAACATTATGGTGTACGTGGGCATTTGTTCTCTCCTTGGGAGTTTCACTGTGCCCAGCAGCAAAGGTCTGGGACTGGCTGCTCAGGAGGCCTTCAGTGGAACACCTACAAGTGATAGCAGAGCACTTTTCCTCTTCCTGGGGTTGCTGGGAATTCTTGTAGTCAGTATTCTGATCCAGTTCACCTTTATCAACAAAGCCTTGGAGAGCTTCAGCTCTAACATGTTTGAGGCCATTTACTATGTGACGTTCACCTCCTGTGTCATTCTGGCCTCTGCTATTCTCTTCAGGGAATGGACAGCACTTGGCATTGTGGACTGTTTTGGTATCCTGTGTGGTTTCATCACAGTATCTGTGGGTGTTGCCTTATTGCGCATCTCTCAGGAATCTACATTTTCTTGGAGCCAAACCAAAGCTAAAAAGGACTAACTCATGAGTGTGTATTTTTTTTATCAATAACTGACAGGGTTTCACAAACATTGATTGGATATTATGTATTAATAGTAATTAACCATTGCAGAGCCAAATAATGGGGGGGTCCTATAACATTTTAAATACTAAATTATATTAATTAAAAATTAATTGTATTTTAATATTATTATGAATCAGTATTAACTCAGTCATTGATAAATACTTGCTTTTAATTACCATAAATTATTAATTGACTTTAATTATATATAATGAATTGATGATTTTTTTTGTATAAGTGTAAATGGATTAAAGTAGTTAGTTAATTGCTTACTATAATTTATATTAACCTTTGTTTTGTGTGTGTGTGTGTAGGAATGCAGCGATTAACCGGTTTCGCGATTAACCGCGCTTTAAAACGTCACGGTTAATTAATCGTAAAGGTTCCGCTAAACCGAGTGTTTGTGTTACACGACACACACATACATATATATATATATATATATATATATATATATATATATATATTAACCAGGTGAATTAAAAATTGTTATATTAATGTTTTTCATGTTATATATACTGGCAGGATTTCCGTCTGGAATAACTATGGTGACAGTTTTGGTCAGTCTGCCATCAATTATTTAATGTAATTGAAAGCATGGCAGGATAACGGCCAGCAGGGGCTGTTTTTTATCTTTCCACACAACAGTTGGCTTTCTATTCGATGGACTTTCCTACTGTATCCTGATCCCGTCCCACCAAAGAACGGAAAACATTTTAATCCCAGAGTAAGTTGTGCGTTATTTTATATATTCCATTAGGGGCATTTTTGTTGTATTTACAGTTTACCCCTTTAATATCTTTAAAGCAACGTTTTATTTTAATCGATTTTATCGTTTAATACACGATGCGAATGTTTGCCGGATGAAAACAGACCCGAAAGAGTTTATTGTGTGGTTTGTACAATCTATCGGAAGTTTCCCCTATATTTTCATATATGTTAATAACATATTTCACGTTTGGTTCTAATTTACAACATTTGTATATTTGTTTTGATTTGCTGTGGAATATATGTTGTTTTAGTGTCAAGAGATTCCTTCGTTTATCTCTGGTTACTGCACCTGAGTCGACGTTTACCTATGTACATCTACGTCACTAGCTCAACATTAAGCACTTTGATATTAGGTGAGGAGGGGACCTTTTCAGATTTATTATAACTAACACAAATTTTCATACTGATGATCAAAACGCACTTTGCATTTGGTCACAATGTTTAAACACATGAAAGGAAGACTTTAACAAGATGTAAGACGACAAAAGACCAATCAAAAGAGAGATTCCGCGCGCCCGCTTCCGGTTTCATTGTACTGATTCTGACTCATTTCGGCTCTTTTGAACAATTCAGTGATTCTTTGACGTCATGACGTAATTACGGCATCATGTCCCTGGCAACCGGCGTAGCATATGATTCAGCTCATTTAAACAATTTTGAACCTAAATTTAATTTGCATTTACATGAAACATTATGTAATATTCATTTTGTTAAAAAGTAGATAAAAGTTGTTATTGTGTTGATAAAATCACAAAACAAAGTTAATATTTCAAACATATTTCCAGGTCGTTTTATTGATTTATTTGTAACATTCTAACGTTATCCCATCAGTCAAATCCTCAATTCACTTCAAATGCTCTTACTTGTCAGCTCTGATCATTACAAGGTGGACAGGTCCGAATGAGTTCTCGGTTCAATGAGTCGGTGGCTAGAGAATCGCTCGGACCGATTCAGTCCAATTGAATGAGTATTTTACAGGTATTTTATAATTAATCTTTTACTGTTCCTTGCCAAATTTCACATCCATCGTAGTAAAGTAAGTCATCAAAAGCCTCTTTTCATTCTCATTGTCTTTTAAAAATACATTGAGCAATATATCCTTGATATTTCATCTTTGAACTCCAAAACTCTTAAGATGGTAAACATGTGATGTGTTTTTTATTTATTTTGTTAAAGGATCCAGTATATTTTTGTCGATATGTGTATATTTTTACATTGGCAGTAAAAAAAAATGGAAGAATTGTTCAGACTGTTTGGTGAACCGGTTGATTCATTAAAAAGATTCAACTCAAAAAAACGATTCTCTCACGAATCGGACATCGCTAGTGAGTGTAGGTGGACGTACATGGGTTCGCGTCAACATCGCGTCTGTATTTCATGGTCGCAAGAAAATGTTAAAGTTAAAACCGTGAAATCTCAGTGACCGGACACGATGTCGAGCTGATCACAGCAACACAACTAGGTACTGTGAATGACTTCATAACCTCCGTTAGCCACGCGTGTGTTTTGCTGTGAATTATGGAGCTAATTGGCTAGGCTAACCGGCTAGGTTTGGCTGTATGAATAAGGTAATTGTCATCATGTCAAGAAGATCTCGCCTAATGTCGCGACAACCAAACGCTGACTCTTATAAGATAACTTGTTTATACTTGAGTTAAATGGACATGGGATGTTGTACGAGTCAGCAATCGCTCTTAATTGTACTGTAAAGTTTGCTGGATCAGCTGTATGCTCGTGTATGGCTTCTTGAAGTGCTAGTTCACCCAAAATAAGAATTCTGTCTTTATTCACTCATCCTTATGTTGATCCAAACCTAAATGCTTAACTTCCGTGAACACATACATAGAGATGCACAATGACAATCTCAGTCACCATTCACTTTCGTTGTATGGAATAGACGAAAGTCATGGAGGTTTTGAACAAAGTGAGCCTTTGTCACTAGGTTGAACCCTATTGATATATGCTGATAATATTTTCCTCATGTCATCATATGTAACTAGTAGGACTTCGAGCCGTAGTGGTTTATGGTGTCATTTCCTGTACTGCTTATGATGTCACTTATTGTGCATTTCACACACACTATCATTCTTCATTCTCCTTCTGAGCAGTGTGTGTTGTCATGAATGTAACCTCAGATCTTTTGAGCTGCAATGTGTGTAGTGTTTCTTATAAAAATGGTATGATAATTTTTTTTTTTTCCCCAACTAGGAACTCACTGGAACTTAATTCCAACATTATGATTTGTATTTTTCTTTCTTGCCAGGTTTTGCAGTTGGCCAAGACTGTTCCTCTGGACTGAATCTTTGGTGTGTGTATGTCAATGTGACGAGAGGAAACTCTACCGACAGCACTATGGGTCAAGACAGAGGAAAGTACGATTTCTATATAGGCCTCGCTTTGGCTATAAGTTCCAGTATATTTATTGGCGGTAGTTTCATCTTAAAGAAGAAAGGACTCCTTCGACTGGCCAGAAAGGGCTCTATGCGGGCAGGTATGTTTCTTTTTGTAAGCTTTTGGTCTAGCGGTGTCAGGAAAACATATACCGCTCTGTCAGAGAGGTTTAACTGGTATGGGTGGGAAAATGATTGAGATGTTTTATTCAGACACACCTGTTCTGTAGCCGTCATTGTTTAAACTCAAAGGTGCAGCACTGTACAGATTACTTGCTGCACATTTTTTATGAATCATTAACTCTGTTACCATGTCATTGACTTCACCATACTGAGATATTTAACCCTGTATGGACTCGTGTCATTTATTAAAGACAACAAAAATAAGTTTTACTGTTAAAAAATAAATCTATAACTAATTGCTTTTCGCTTTTATAAAGTGAGAAGTCTCTGTTTTCTTCATTCCAGTTTTGTGATAGCATTATTTGATTGTCAAACAACAAACATAAGCAATACAACTCTTTTTAAGCATTTTTGACGCATTTAAATCTTTCAATTTGATTTAACTTATTTTGCTTAAAAGTGTTTAAAAATGAAAATAAAAAAATGTGTTATAGTTGGCTTTCAAATTAAAATGTAATTTGTCATGGATATATAGAAAATGGCCCATCATGGAATACATATTTAGTGCATAGAGTAATAGAAGTTATGTGTAATGATATTATGTTTTCATGTAAAAATGAAACAGGCATGATTATAGTGTTTAATTTTCTTTCAGTTAATGTTTGATATTTACACATAAATAGGTTTTTAAATAACCCCCTTTTTCATTTTAATAAATATTTCATCCTTTATAGTTAATATAGTTGATTTTGTTTTAAACTTACACTACCATTCATAAGTTTGGCATCATTTTTTTAAAGAAATTAATATTTTTATTCAGTAAGGATGCATTAAATTGATTACAATTGACAGTGAAGACTATTAATGTTACAAAATATTTCTATTTCAAATAAGTGCTGTTATTTTGAACTTCATTCTTACAACAATCCTGAAAAAAGTATGTTTTTCAACATTGATAATAATGATAAATGTGGCTTGAGCAGCAAATTGGCATATTGGAATGATTTCTGAAGGATCGTGTGACACTGAAGATGCTGAAAATTCAGCTTTGCCATCAGGGAATAAATGACATTTTAAAATACATTAAAATAGGAAACAGTTATTTTTAATTGTACTAATGTTTCACAGTATTACCGTTTTACTGTATTTTTGATCAAGTAATTTCAGCCTTGGTGAGCGTAAGAGACTGTCAAAAACATTACAAAATCATATTGACCACAAACTTTTGATATTATGAAATTGGTATTTCATAATGCGGCCTGTAGAGCTTAAGGAAATACTGATCCTCTGTTTAGCGCTGATACAAAGTTCAGTGTTGCCAAACTTGTTTTGCCATTTACCTTTAACCTTGTTGTAGCCATTTAGTTATTTAACTGTTAACATTTACAATAATTTCTGAGGGATTATAATGTTTGTACCAAGTAGTTTTTCAATGGCTGATGCCAATGTTGACATCCAGAGAGCAGGGTGGCCAATACATGATAGGCAGTGCAATTTAATTATTGCAAAAATGTCATACACAATATTGCTGACAGTAAATATATTGTTGAATAATGTTGAAACATTAATCATTACACTTTCCAGGCCAAGGAGGTCACGCATACTTAAAAGAATGGCTTTGGTGGGCTGGCCTGTTATCAAGTGAGTGACATAGATTAAACAACTACGTTTCATCTCTAAGACAAACTCGAAGCAGCTGTTCACGTACAATATATATTTATCATGTTTGTGGCTCAGCTTCTTGGAAGTAACTACTTTAATTCTTTCTGCTTTGACAGTGGGCGCCGGCGAAGGTGCCAATTTCGCTGCATACGCCTTCGCTCCTGCCACCCTCGTCACTCCTCTTGGGGCTCTCAGTGTGCTAGTCAGGTCTGTACACCTTTGGTGAATTTCTCAGAATTATAAAAACCTGTTTATTGTTAAAGGGTTAGTTCACCCAAAAATGAAAATTCTGTCATTAATTACTCACCCTCGTGTTGTTCGAAACCCGTAAGACCTTCGTTCATCTTCGGAACACAATTTAAGATATTTTTGATGAAATCTGAAGGCTCTCTGACCCTCCCATTGACTTATTCCACATTTTCATCTCTACTGCGTCACTTTGGACACGCGTTCACGTTCATGACGCGAGCGTATGGTATGGCAGCATCGGCGCTGACCCAGATCCGGCGTGATGACGTCATTACACCAAATCTGGGTCAGGTCCGTCACACGCTCGCGTCATGGTACTGTCGTGAACGCGCATCCAAAGTGAACGTGGTAGTTACCTTGCTGTCTATGGGAGGGTCGGAGAGCCCTCATATTTCATAAAAAATATCTTACATTTTGTTCCGAAGATGAACGAAGGTCTTACGGGTTTCGAACAACACGAGGGTGAGTAATTAATGACAGAATTTTCATTTTTGTGTGAACTAACCCTTTAATGTGCAAATCAAATTTAATGATACAGCAGGTGGATAGTATTATAGAAATGCAGCTTTGCTTGGGAGGATGTTACTCTCTTGGACTCAGAACTATAGTGATTCATGTTGATCGTAAGCTATTTTCAACATTTACAGGGGCTAGTCTGTGATTTAATTGCTGCCTGAATCCAGAATGTCTTGTGTTTTTCTCCCACCACCCCTGTGAATATCCCCGGCGGAATTACCTACTGTTTTTTTTTTGTTTGTTTTTTTGACAAAAACCAAGGTCAAATCCACATTTCTGAGTTTACAAGAAGAAATTGATTCAAAATTAACCATTTAAATCCTTTTTGACCACTGTCGAACACCGTACTGTAACTGTTGTACTTCGCTGTAATTTGCAGGCATATTTATTACTGAATTGCTGGTATTTACAAAGAACAATATTTCATAGCTGCTCCACCACAGCGAGTGGGAGCTGTTAAGAACAAAAAGAAGAAAAGCATGTATACATTTGAAATGAGTCAGCAACAGATATGCAATAAAATGTATTATATACAATTATATACATAATTATACTACGGGGGCCGTTGAATGCTTGAATCTGATTGGCTGACGAACGTTCTGTGGTGTGCAATTATTTTCAGGGAAACGCACGGCGAACGTAGTTCCAGGCAGCTCTCTTGACCGCATTACAGTTCCATATCACTTCGCATAGTTAACTGTAATAACGGAAATTAGCATGCATACCTATACAGCACACAGGAATTACTGCAATCAC